AACTTCCAATCATCTGGGACCTCCCCAGAGAGCCAGGACTGTTGGTAAATGATGGAGAGCAGCTTGGCAAGTTCTTCTGCCAGCTCCCTCATCACCCTTGGGTGGATCCCATCCAGTCCCATAACTTGTGAGGATCCAAGTGACTCAGCAGGTCACTAACTGTTTCCTCCTTGACTACAGGGGGGCTATTCTGCTTCTTATCTCTGTCTACAAGCCCCAGAAGCCAGCTGTCCTCAGGACAACCTGTCTTACTGTTGAAGACTGAGGTAAAGAAGGTGTTAAATACCTCAAGCCTTGTCCTCATCTTTGATAATTATGTTCCCACCCATGTCCAATAAAGAATGGAGGTTTTCCTTGTCCCATCTTTGGAAAACCAACTTAAACCAAATCTACAGTTATATTCCTCTTATCTTTAGTCAACTCCTACATTTTTGTCTAATTACCCTGAGGGTATAAATGCCTAACCTGAAAAGATTAATGTTTCACCTCAAAAACATGCACAGTCATTTTTACTACAGTTCAACACCTATAATATGCAGAAATGTGGGAGACAAGGTCATTAAAACTACAAGTTCACCTTAAAAGTACAGGAAACTGATAAGTTATTAAGGCTTACAATATAGACACCAAAACTCTTTGACTGAAAAATAAGTGAAAATTATCTAATGTCTTTGTGAAAGCAAGAAAGATTATAAACTACACATAATAATAGAAATACACACTTAGTATTTTAATGCCATACTTTAAAGATACAGTTAAGAGAACCATAAAGAAAAAAATTCTCTTACCCTGGAGTGGGATCACAATATTCTTTGCTGTAAACTGAAATAAGAATAATAATAAAAAAAATTTACTTTGCTTTTTACAAATTTATGAAATCAATATAAGAATTTTTAATTATCTCCTTGTCTTTCTTTATAGCCAAATACACTGAAAATAATAGAACTATTTATGTTGGAAAACACCATTCACCAAGTCCAACCATTAGCCTGACACTACCAAGTCAAATATGCCTAGTTTGAGACTTTAAACTGCCTATTTCACCTAAAAGAACAGTCCCAAACACTCCTAAAGATATACTGCAGAACCTAAATGACAGCAAATAACATGCAGAGATGCTAGGCACTGAGAAACAAACATAAAGTTGCAGAGTTGCCTAGAGGTTCCTTAAGAAGAAGAAGAAAAAAAGAGGAACACTTGAGACAAAAAGAGCTAAAGCAACCCATGATAGGCTGTCAGATGCACTATTTGAATTAAGGACACGACAGAAACAGTTCAACATTGAGGTATTACTTTGCTATTTACAATAATTTTTTAATTAAAGCCCTTGAAGGATTTGACTTGCACTGCTGCTATGTTAAAGAGACTTTGCTAAGTAAAGAGTGCTTTATTGTCACTTTGACAAAAGGTTCTCATATACGTTGACAGAAGAGGTTTCTCCACACTAAGTACAAAGTTGTGTTCTCCAAGGAAAATGTCTACTTTACACCTAAAGCACTGATTCTAAAATTATTTCAACTAATCCTTCAAATTATTTTGGCCTGTTAATTAGGAAGTTTCCATTAAATGTTTCCATAAGTGCATGAGAACTGCTGCACAAAATTTCTGCTTTGTTAAAACCTAAAATTATTATTATTACAATCCAAGATTTCAAGATGTCTTACTAAAAGCAACAGAACATATGCAGGTTCAAACATTTCTTTTTCAGTAGCAATATGCAGAATGAGCCTGGTCAAAGACCTGTTGAAACTTCTGGAGCTGGTACTCCATTTAAGCAGATCCTCACTTATGTTTCTATACCTAGTGAATAGCATATTGCCTAAGCACTATTTGTTTTAGTATTGTTTTTATATTCTTTAAAGCCACAAAACAAGCAATTTTCTGTTTAAAAGGCAAGATTAGAGCATAATATATATCTGAACTCTGATCATTATCGATTATTCTAGATCATTATTTCTGAGAAAAGTAACTGGTGTTTAAATGACATTAAATGTCCACTAATATGGCCATTATTTTCTGTTAGAATTCATTACAAGCCTCCTCAGTGTGACTTCTCAAGTATAGCATTTATACAGAACCTTTACATCTGAAAACAGTGGCCACAGAAAACCAGTTAGCTTTTCTGACAGCAATCCAAATGTACAAGATAATGGACTTCACACTGCATTAATTAGCCAAAGGAATTTGATGCAACAATAATCAAAACTCAGTGTTTTCATACTAAGTACCACCGGCTTTGCCTAACCAGAATTTTAATTTTTAAATATTCTCAAAACATCATCATAATAGAACAACTTACCCTAGCAGGACCTACTGATAAGCATTTAAATTTCCCAATGTATAGACTATCAAATGTAACATCCAGTGACGGGTTTATCTGTTTTCTAGGTGTTCTCTCAGAAGGTAAGGCGATCAGGCATTTATCTTCAATCGACTCTGTTAAAAACTAGAAGAAAAAGTATATTTACTACAGGGCTTTAAATGAGATACTTCTCTCCTGTAACCTTGGGAATTTTTTGCATCACGCTGATAAGAATTTACTCCCAAAGTCAGCTTCCATATAAAAACTCCATATTCAAAAGCTTTAAGGGTTATTACATGTCTTTATTTGTTATTAATGTCTTTACATGTTATTTACATGTATTTACATGTTATACATGTCTTTACATGTTATTAATGTCTTTAAGGGCCTAAAAATATCTTCTATCACCTTAATTGCCAAGACATGATCTGTGCACTTTACTAATCTAGAGCCAAGTAAAAACTCAAAACAGAGCAACAAAATAATAGCCCTCTTTTCATATCAAAGGTTCAGGATCCAATTCAATGCTTATGATCAAAATGATGCAACTGTGAGAAGAGGCTCTTAAATTGTTTCAGGATAACCCAAACCCAGGTCAAAGCAAGAAGCACAAGGTTAATCAAGTTTAAAATGAGGCAACCACCTTTATGGCTAGTTCTAGATTCACATTTTACTGCTAGCCACACAGAAAAGGGGACTTTACCCTCTCTCTCCCTGCTGTCAACAAAGATCCTTGAATTTCTCCACACACTGAATTACAACAGAGGACTGGCTGACAAGAAGAAACTGCAATCAATTTAGGACACTGTGAGGAAACAAGTTTTTCACAGATGCATCTTCATCATATCTATTTCTAGCTCAGGTTACTGTTTAATCCTTTCTGTTTTCTGATATTAAACATTTCCAAATAGGAAATACACTGTATGTTGCGGAAACACTGAAGCTTCAGAGCCAGAGAATCCTGCTTGTGGTTGGGACCATAAACAATAATTTTCTACAACAAACAGTGTAGAAATAAAGGGTTGGCATAACAACACATCGGCCAAGAACTAGACTACCTGCTCTTTGTGGCTTTCCATCTTGTCTTCCAGTTGCTTGGCTGAGAAGTCAGATTGTTGGTCTGTTTCTTTGATTTCAGTGATACCATCCTGCATCAGCTCTGTGCACTGTGGTTCAGCAGGTGAATCTTCATCATCACTGGAAAGGACGACTAAAGAGAGGAAAAAAAGGAAGTATACATATACTACATGACACAGACTTAAGAATATTTCATTAATTGTGGATTTCAGACAAGCAAAGACTTCTGTCTTGCAGTACATAATACCAAAGTTCATTGCCCAAACCAGTCAAGATCTAGACCTGTGTGCACGAAAGTGCAAGCAACAAGTACTGCTTTGTATCTGTATGAACACCTTTTATCCAAGATCCTCAAAACTATTTGGTTATTAAAAGAAACAGACCACAACTCAGCTGCTTCCAACTAGAGAATATTTTTTTTCAGCTTAAGTGTGAGCTTAAGTACAAGTTAGATTTTCCATAGCCACAAAATCAGCCGCAAAATAAGGACTGGAATTTTAAAATCTTGCTGTCTATCCTGTCTCTCAAATACAAGACCCTCTGACTCTAGGCACTGTCCTGTAACCTGCTCAATGCATTACACACAACACGATCTCTGTCTTCAGTCTTTTGTTCTCTGTGTTTCAACCAGCCAGTCAGGTTCGAGCTCTCCTCGTACTTAAGTGTCCCATCAGTAATTGTCAGCAGCACAGACATAGTACATACTTGGGTCAACGGAAACAAGTTGCTGATTACCCCTGCAGATTCTGTTCCGCAGCTTGCTCAGGTACTGAGATGGGTCCATCTTTAATTTCCTGATCGTACTAACTCGTGGTACAATCACGTCCTTGCTGGTGGCAGAAGGTTGTTTCTCTGACAACTTCCTGGGAGGAGACTCTGAGCCAGACTCCTCTGTGCGGCCGTGAGCAGGCCTTAAGCGGTTGTGCGTGAAAGTGTCTTTACAGTCTCTCTCTAATGGCTGGGTAGTACCATCCAGCACTAGAATAGCATTAGATCTGTCACCTTGTGCGTCCTCACAGGGTGTTTTGCAGCCTGGAGTTGAACTCAAACTTTGCTTTTCCTAGAAACAGGAATCAGAGACAGGATTTAAGTTTATTTCTCGACATTTCAAGATGGTTCGTATCAGTGATCACTGAGATTCAGCTATGTGCTTAACACAGCAACATTTAATGCTCAGTTCAGGACAGTTTTCTCCCTCCTCATATTCCAAAGGTTATTATTATACAAAGACATAAGGGACAACTTTTTAGACGCTTACCATGACCCACATTCAAACTGAACAAGGAACTAAGTCTTATTTTTTACTAGCTCTCTCACTGTCTGACACCAAAAGACCAAGAATCAGTGATGTTCACCACTTTCCCAAAAGTGTGGCTTGGTCAACTGGGCTAACAGGATTCAGCAATTGCCTGTCTCTGGGGGGGTTTAATCAGAAGGTGACAGGGATGCCTTTATTGTATTCAAATGCTTGAATATAAATACGTGTACTTGACTGATTCCCTCAGTCTTTTGTTTATGCTTTTTGTTTTGTTTTGGTTTTGTTTTTTTTTAAAGTCTTAGTGATTGATAAGAATAGAACTTTAAGGAAGAGTACAACAGACTGAGGAGAAGAGATGATGACATCTGCAAGATTTCAACAACCCCAGGTATATTTAGTAATTTTTGTATTAAAGCCCCTAATTAATCCCTAGCTCTATATCATCTGTGAAAGAAGCTTCACTTAAGCAGTCAGATGTCTTATTTTTAAAATTCTTTTAGTCCATGTTCCTGTTTGAAGGAAACACTGTCGTTAATCTCTCACAGCCTTTTTTGCTATAATAAGCATATTCTGATGTTGTGGACAGAAGTGCATTTACTCACTCCTTTTGATGCATCATTCAACTGCTTTCCCTCAATGGGTATAATCTGCTAATATACCTGTATAGTAAGTCCTAGTTATTACAGTAATTCTTTAATTTAGGATGTTGCTAACGCAGTTACTGAAGTGTGTGTGCATGCGTGTACACAAACACATACATTAAAATTAAGTGCAACTTACAGAGAGTACAAGTGATTTTTCTGGAATGTCTGCATTACAATCATCAGAAATATGGTCACTATGTCTTCTTTTCCTTTTCTCAGAATCAAAAGAGCCCGAGTCCTTCCGACTAAGAGTAGTGCTGTTCATCTGTCTGCTCCTCCTCTCCAGTTCATCATAGTGCTTGTTTTCTGCATCTAAAAAGTAAGTGATTTAACAGATTATCCTTAAAAACCTTCACTTTTTTCCATATCTGTTATGTCTTAAATAAAATGCATGGAAGCAGGTATCTTCCACAGGTATCTTCAATAGTTCTTTCCTAACTGCATGTGGCTGCCAAAACATATTCCCTAAAATAATTAAGAGATATTATTATTGCATAATTACTTCAGGGTATAGCCAAATTCATAGCTCCCTTCCAAGTATTAGTCTTTCTTCAATCTTCTGCCAGATGCAATATTCTCAATTTCCTGTTCTAATCTGAAAATATTACTAATGCAAGTATTACTAAATAATACTAATCAGTAAAAAAGGCAGTATATTAACGCTGGAGACTGAGCATAGAGGTCATAATTCTTCAGCAGTGAATACAAATATTGTTAAATAGCATAAACATTTTAGCAGTGTTCACAAACCATTTGAGCATTCTTAATGGATTACATTCTTGATTATAAAAGACTTTTTCAGAAAATCAGGATTATAAGACTGCAGTGAGGCTTCCTTCAGTTTCATTTTTCTTCAACAGGTTTGATTCACTGTAGTTTTATTCCTATTTAAAACCAGGCATTTCATATATTTTACCATACCTGTAAAAAACTGTATTGAGAGGAAACACATACACTGCTTGCAACACCTACTTTATTTCTGTGCTCTTCTTGCAATACTAGACTAAAAAAGGAAAATATTCCAACACTCTCCAAAATTCATACTTAAATGCCAGATGACTGGCTCACAACAAACCTTTCTTCTGCAGCTCCCGCCGTCTTAACGTGACAGCATTAGTTTTTCCTGGTTCCTTAGAGGATTTGGTCAAATTACATAGCTCATCATCTGTCTTTCTCAGACAATGTTCAGACCTGCAAATAATATTAACTATGACTTATCTTCCATTTTGAAAGAATATTAAAGAAAAAAAAAATCTCAATAGAAACTAGAGTTGGTTAAACTACAAACTTCTGCCTTTCTCATAAAATTTCTGGACCTTGTCAAAGGAAACAATTAATTCAGTCCAATTGTGGAAATACACAGGTATTTTAACAATGTTAATGAAACAGATCCTTCTAAAAAGCACAAAGTACAAAAACTGACATGCTTGACATCAGGCACAAATATTTTGCTGTAAGGAGAGACTGCAAGCAGAACACATAAGAAAAAAAAAAGAAAGAACAACGGTCAGTTGTAAGTAATATGGTGGGAACGAGACAATGTAGTATATTTTTTAGATTCAGAATGACTAACAGAATCCAATGTCCAATGACTAATACCCTGCAATAAGAAATTATTTGAAATAAAAATTCCAGTTCAAAAGGGCCTGAAACCTGTGAAGGAGGTAAAGGAGGATGGGACACGAAAGAGAAAGAAACAAAAGGATTAATCCAAATGGATTTTGTGTTCATTGCTTTATAACATGTCTAACTCAGAATGTTGTGGTCTCAAACTTGCTAAGAGCTAAGTGTCCATCACAATGACCAAAATCACTGACAGTTGAGCTTGGACTAGTAAAGAACATCACCAACCATGGACATCTCTAACTAGATAGCCAAAACTGTTGGACACTTTCTGAACAGATACCTATTTCTCAGTGCCTAGCTGTAGATTATTGTTGCTCTTCGGGAACACTGTAAAGACAAAGATTTCCACAGTGCTCAGATACTACAGTGATGAAGAATATGTATAAGCACTGTGAAGAAATTACTGATTATCTTTCCATTCACAAAGTACCATGAATTGGACCATACACAGAAGAAGTGCTCGGTAAGTGCTATTATTCATTCTGTATATTGAACAAGACAGGGTCTTCCATAGATTGGGTAGCTCTAGTTCTGGAATAATCTCACTGTAGAAAACTTTATTTTGGAATCCACATCTTTTTCTCAATTTAAATATCTGTATGCATAACAGCTGCATAGATCTGACTGCCTTAAAAGACCATACAAAACCACTGAGTGTTTTTCAGCATTTGTTTTACACCAACATCACACTTCAGGCATTTCAATAATAGGAAGTATCTCAATAGGACTGTTTCAGCTAACAAGCCTCCATAAGCACATTGACTTCATACATAAATTCTGCACATTTTATTTGCAATTTCAAACTTTGCTGGTAATTCAGCACCCTTTAACAGACATATGCATTGTCTATGAAGCTAAAGGAGTATATACACTACCAAGTGTTTTCAACAGCCATGGGAAATAAGTACTTTAACCACTTTAAAATCCTATGTTTCTTTACATTTAAAACCTACCTCAAACTCATTAGTGATACTGATAGGTCAGCGATGACTTAACCAAATGCATTTCACACTGGTTTGCAGTGAACAAGCAACCCAAAGTCCACCAATTCTGTAATACCCAAAGCAAGAAGGAAAACAGGGAACTTGCAGCAAGTTCTAGCTGGTAGAGATTAATTAACTTACTACTACCCTGTTCTGATCACACACAATTCTTTGGCTTGATCTGAAATTTCCATGGTACAAAACTGGTATAATTTTCAGTAAAACAAAGTATGCATTCTAGCTACTCTGGTGATACAAAAGACTCTCTGTATGACCATGTGCATCTATATGCATAACCTTTATAAGAGGGGAGCTTTTATTCTCCTCTGAAAGAAGAGACCCCAAAAGAATCAGTGCCAGATGTACCTAATGCACAGATTTTACTTACAGAGAGGTGACCAGGATCAAGCCATGACTTTGTTGAAATAATTTCTAAATTATCCATTTCCCATGTGATATGTCTTACAAATTGTACTATCGTGCTGGTCAGTGGGGAGGGGTGAAAAATCACCCTAATGTTGGTTCCTGCTAATCACAAGAGTTTTACATAATATATTAGAGAGTTGTGTAGCAGGAACAGAATATTAATCATTCAAGCAATGAACCATTCCAAAGCTAAAGCAAGTTGAGTACAACAACTGCTAAAAAAATTACTAATTCAAACCATTATTATGCTTAATATAAAATTCAACAGCCACCCTCCAACTATGAGCTTGACAAAGAACTCAAGATGCTTCCTCAGATTTAGAGTTTGATAAAGATTTCATGTTTTCCTCTCTATAAACCCACTACCTTCCATCATCCAAAACATTACCAAGTGGAAAAAACCAGATACTAAAAGATTTTGCCATAAAACAAACAAACAAACCCACCACAACTCCCCCAACAAAACAAAAAACCCCCAAGAACATGAAAAAAATCCCCACACTTTACTCAACCTTAAGTTATAGAAAACTATTAGCAACAAATATAATATTTGAGACAGCCTAATAAACTGTTCTATCTAAATCCCTCATTTAAACTACAGCTTCATCAGGTTAATTTAAGCAGCAATGTGTAACAAATATTTAAAAAAAGGAATTAAAAAAGGAATTCCTATTAAATTCAGTTCTCTAAGATGCTGATGTATCAAAATGAGGAATATGACTTACTTCTCTCAACTTTTACCTAGGAACTGATAATTGTTCCTGCCCTCAAAAAAAACATTCTTCTCTTCCTCTTTCTACCTTCTTCTTCCAAATTTCTTGCTAAATTCTCCTGTGGAAAATTTGCTGCTGAGCAAAGATGTAGCCATAACAGGTAAGAGGAGACAGCTTACTTTGAATGCAACTGCCTTCTTACACCAAAATGTTACATGACTCTAATATTTGATTTCCACTGGTTTTCTATGTCTAGCATTACTGTGATGCTCAGTCTACCTAAACATAGGAAAAGGGGAGGAAAAGAAGATGTTAAGTGGTAAGACGACACACACAGCCCTTAAACAATGTCACCCTGTTAGGATTGAGACCACTGGTGGGTTAATGTGAAAAGAAATTAACTACTACGGAGAGGAATTTGGAAAATTTTGCAGAAGAAGTTAATTGAAACCACGCTAGAACACATTAACACCTCCAAGAAAGCAAGATTTTGGTTGTGGACACAAAGCCAACTTAGATGTGTTTGAATTATTCGGCCATCTCCATAAATCAAAACACTGATCCACTGCAAACAGGAATTCCATCTAAGAAAGGAAAGTAGCCCATTACCATCAGGTCAAGCAAATCAGAACAAATGCAGTGTTAAAAGGGCTCACTGGACAAGCATGTTAGTTGCACCCAGGAAAACCGATCTTGTGATTCAAGACAGGAGTAGAACCACAATTGTTTCAGTGAAATTCTTTTCAATTGAGAAGTTATGTCATTTCAGGAAGACTGGCAAAATCAGCAGTGCGTAACATACCTTTCAGACAGAAAAGAACTTTCATGAGGAGAACTTAATATTTGACATGTCTGCAGGCTGGCAACAGATGATGAGGGCAGTTGACCCGACTGCAATTTGTCAGCAGCTGGTAAATTTGCATCAATTGTTACACGGTTGTCTATGTACTTTCTTCCAATTTTCGTCCTCAGGACATTCGTCAAGATAACTTTGGGTTGCCTGCCATATATATATATATATATAACAGTAAATCATAAATACTGCACTGAAATCTAGAGAAAGAAACTTCTTGTTAAATTCATGTATCTAAGAGGCTTGATAATCAAACATCAGTATTTTCAGTCCCTTAGAGAAAAAAAAAATCCCATCAAGAAACTTAAAATACATGGTAAGCAGATTAACACAAAAAAGCAACAAGAGACCAGGGTCAGAAAAACTAGCCATATAATTTCACCTCAGCCAACTACAATTCACACTGCATTGCCTCTAAAACATCATGTAGTACTGTTTAAAAACTGGTAAAAGTTTATCTCTAAATAGCTTTCATGCAATATATTTACACATTTCTCAGAAATCCCAAGCAAAAAATCTTGATTTTCCTGTGAACAAGAAGCCTCCAGTGAAACAGACTGGATTTTCTAAAGCACTTAGCTAACAGGTAGAAAAGTAGCATGTACACAAAAAGGCAGCATTAGAATTTGTTCCCCTCAATTACGAGGTGGCATTCTACAGAACAGCAAGGCTCAGAAAAACATCCCCAGGTGTCAGAACACAAGCATCAAAAATAAGCTGAGCAGAAATACAAAGATACAACTGCCCACTTGAGCACACACAACTTACTTCATACAATGCTACTGCAGCCAGCTTGTTGTATAGCCCTCGATTTACCCACTTAAATTTCTCAGTCTGGGATTTCAATTCTAGCACTTCCATTGCATTTTGTTTTGGATTAGGATGTAACATCCTGGCCTTTTTGAATCTGCTTTGAACAACATAGTCTTTTGGGAATTGACTGTGTAATTCTCCTGTTGTCTGTATTTATCCACAGAGCAGACTCCAGCATAGACTGTGTGATGTCTGGGGAGCACTCAGATGCACAGAGATGTAAATTTGCTTTTAAACAGGAGACTACCTTACTGACAAGATGTTGCAGATGCAAGCAGGTGATAAACAATGAGCATTCAACTGAGAGAAAAAGTTTAATACAGAAAAACACTGTAGACTGGATGTAACCTCCAATAAACAAAGTACCTAAACTGCCTACCTATCAGAAGCTCAGAGAAAAACACAGAGAAAAAAGCATTCACTATAACCATACTTTTCCCTGGATATCTACAATTGACCACTGCTTGCAGGACAGTGAAGATGATACTGGACTTGATATGCTTTTCTTCTGACCCGTTATGCCAGTTCTCCTATTTTCATGAGTAGTCTAAAGCAGCAACAGTAAAAAATACACTTGATACCTTCTCTGAGAAAAGGGTTGCAGTTAAATACAAGTGTATTCTTTACACAAGAATAAAAAAAAAAAAACCCAAACATTTTGAGAATCCAATGGTTAAATCAGAATTAATTGGTCTCATCAGTACAGGACCATCTAGAAGCCATTTGAACAGAAAAACCACCGCAACATGCCCTACACCATCTCTCTCAAAGATTATCAAATGGAACCAGGTACAGGTTAACTCAGCCAAGTCAGATGAAATACAGCTCATGAACCAAGATAGCTGTGGTACAACAAGTAACACTTTCTCATGAAAAAAATAACTGCAAGGAAAATTATTTCTTTTAGTGACATGAGGCAAAGACAACATACCTTTTAGATAGCAAAAGACTTTGGAGAGTAGGGTTTAAAATCTGCCATATCTTTAGGCTGGCAGTAGATGATGAGGGTGGTAGATCTGCCTGCCGCTTGCCAGCATCAGAAAAATTAGCACCAGTTTTAAGTTGCGCCTGTGTGTACTTTCTTCCTAGTTTCGTCTTCAGGACATTCGTCAAGATAACTTTGGGTTGCCTGCCATACATATAATAATACATTAATAATAGGATGCTGAGAACTTTTTAACTCACACGAATCCAACAAAGTTTTTCTATGAGTTCGCTGTCTCTGCATCATACTCTACACCTTTACTAAAATTAGGTTCACTGCCTTGACAATTTACAAAGCAGTTCTCTTTGGAGAAGACGAATAACAAACACATCTCTTGATCAGGACAGCCTTTCAATGTTCCTTCTTCTGGCATGAATGGCTAACATGCCCATACGTGATTCTGAAAAGGCAAACTTTCAGTGCAGAAGCATGGAAATTTGGATGCATCTTTTTATCACAAAATGTGGAAGCGGTGCTGCTATGCCATACAAGCTATTCTGAAAGTGTATTTCTGAGCATTTGCAGAGTATGAAGACAAGCACTCACTGTGGCACCCTATTTTAGAACAGTGAATATTGTTGGTTTCCATATCACAAATTAATTATGACTTTGCTGGGAAAAAAGAAAAAAAAAAGGTCAAGAAGTACAATCTCCCAGTTTTGAAGCCTCAGCTGATTTCAGTTTCACTAAGAAATTTACAAGCAATTATGAATTACGACGTCAGTAAAAATTCCCTACTGAAGTTCTTAAAGAAGTATCTATACTTTGCTAATTCTGCTAGAACGGTACTGAAGTCTTCATATGAAGAATTAATTCTGCAGTATGGTCAGTAACTCGGACAGTTTCCTTACAGAATCATTAAAGTCAATCTTGGAGATCTTTCCCAGCATCTCCAACCTTTGACTGAATACTGCCATGCCACAAAACCATAATGCAAATGCCATGTCTACTTGGTTTTGGAACACTTACAAGGATGTTGACTCCACCATTTCCCTGGACAGTCTGTTCTACTGCTTAACCACTCTTTCAGTGAAGGAGTTTTTCCTAACAGTCAACTTGAACCTCCTCCTGTGCAACTTGAGGCCACTTCCCCCTGTCCTGTCATGAGTTGCCTGGGAAAAGAGTCCAAGCTCCACCTTGTCACAACCTCCTTTCAGGTCACTGTAGAGAGCAATAGGATCTTCCCTCAGCCTTTTTTCTCCAGGTTGAAAAACTCCAGCTCCCTCAGCCATTCCCCATGGGACTTACGTACCAGACTCTTCACTAGCTTTGTTGTTGTTCTCTGGACTTGCTCCAACACCTCAGTGCCCTCCTTGCAATGAGGGGCTCAAAACTGAACACAAGAGTTGAGGTGCAGCCTCACCAGCGCTGAGTACAGAGGGACAATCACTGCCCTGGTCCTGCTGTCCATTCTATTGCTGCCACAGGCCAGGATGTCACTACTGGCCTTCTTGGCCACCAGTGCACACTGCTGGCTCATGTTCAGTTCGCTGTCAAATAGCATGTCCAGGTCCTTTTCTGCTGGGTTGCTTTCCAGCCACTCTTCCCTCAGCCCGTAACACTGCATGGGGTTGTTGTGACACAAGCACAGCCCCAACACTAAGCCTTACTTAACTTAGCAGTTGATAAATATTATAGATAATAGATGATTTGTCCGGATTTACTTTATTTTCAAACGACTGAGAACTGGACTTGTTTTCCAAGGGCTGCTCCTAAGAGGACATTGAAGTTCAGCCTAATTTGTTGGTTTTAAAAGATCACTGAGGCAAGAATTGGTTTTTTCTATTGCATATCTTGCCTAACAAATAAAATTGTTCACACCATAGAGCAAGACTTCTTATAGCTAGAGAAAACCTTTTATTACTCACATAGTTGTTACAGACATGCTACAGCAACATTTCTTAAGCAAATGGCTGCTATTCCTCAGTGGGTTGACAACTGTGCAAGCAAATCTAATTGTCTCACTGACATGTTGCATTCAGCTCAGCAGCCTGGTTACGTGGGACCTAGTGGCAAACAAACACATATGGCATGAAAACTGCTGAACAACAGACATGCTTGCACCTAAAAGTATAAAGGATCTGGAAGTGCCATGCTAGTGTAACACAGTTAACTTGGGTAAGATACATCACACAACCCTTTTATTTTGCTCTTTCAACAGTTGCTTCCTTCATGTTGAGATTTCTTTTCCCTAGTTACTTACCATGTTAAGACGATACATAACCCCTCACTGAACCTAAAATATTCCAACACTGAGTGTTTAAACAACACAATGACAGAAAAAGTCCACAGCAGGAGGTAAAGGAGTCAGAAGCAGCATTTCACCACCCATAGTTTGCTGTCCACTTTGGAAACTCAGGTCTGACACCCTTTGCTCACATTCATATCATGCTAGACCTTAGGTTCCAGGCTCCTCTGTAATTTGGTTTAATCACTGTTATTCAGCACTGAATTTGTAATGTCTCCATTCCCTTGATTTAAATAGGGTTTATACATTTTAACCAAGAACTTTTGCAAAAATGATCTCAATATTTCAAGCGCACACACATAGCTATGAAACTACCGGAAATCAAGCAAAAGACATTTCAAAAGATAAAAAATAGTGTCAAGGAGAAAAAAGAGCAAGCAAAGTGTACATTAATAGCAAGTTCCACCAGCAGACCCAGCAAGCAAGCTGCACAAAAGGAAAACTGGAGGCATCTTGGTGAGGAAAAACCAAAGGCAATTATTTCTGTTTCTAAAGCACCTACCACACAATCTCCAGAAAAAAGAAAAAATACAAAACCAAAGGTAATGAACATGTACTTACACATGTAATGATGGAATAAACAAAAAACATTATGAAAAATGATGTTAGCTGTTCCTGGCAAGTCTCTTATCGCTTTTCACAAGCAAAAAAGGATTATCCTACCTTACAAAGCACAGGACAAAAAGTTATTAATTGCTTATGCCCCCTTGGGGAATAGGTTTGACCTCTATTTCACACAATAATCACAGCCACTAGACCCAGTTCCTTTCACAGTGATCAATATTTGTGCACACCAGTGTTGTAACTGCTGCCTCCAATTCATTCAAATTTGTATTAGAAAGTGATCAAAATGAGACATGGAGGCAACTGATTCCTTTAGGACTGAATTATTATCAATTATCTACACCACTATCTTCACGCCTACATTCTACCTACTAGTAATATAAATTTGTGACAATAAGATATCACATACCATTCAAGGGTCACCCCATCAGATCCCATATAAGCTGACCATCTCTCCTGAGTTCACAGAATAAAACCACTGAGAGACTTGATGTGTATCCAGCTATCTGAGCTTCTGCAGCATATAGGTCCTGACTTTCTAGTGTCCAAAAGAATAACGTGATACACCATCATCAATGGGAAACTGATACATTCACTGACTACACCCTAATGACAAGAAAGACTCTGTCTGTCCTCTTTCTGCTTCAAAGTCCTTTCACCAACTGATGAGAAGTCAGTGACCAACAAGCAGCCAACATGAACATCCCTAAACACCTCCTTGTTTTGCTGGGCCAGGAAGTTATTAATGACAGAATGCATTTGTGAGGAGGGCAAGGGGAACCAGTATGCCACAAAAACCTGACCGCTACGGGGTCAGTACTTGATTCAGCTGTGACATGTATTTCAATTAACATTTCAAATACTGAGCTGAAAGAATCATACATGTCTTATTTAAGTGCTCCTCCCATCCTCCTCACTAACAAAAAAAAAACCTCACAAAAAAACCCACAAAAAAACCCAGACCAGGATGAGAAGCTTGAATTTCAGAACAGTGTTCCATTTTGTTTGGGTTTTTAGGTGGTTGTAGTTTGTTGGGCATTTTTTGGTGGATTTCTTTTATTATTTTTTTTATTTACCTCTATTCCCCTCTTGGGAGAATGCAGTAGTAATACAGCTGAAGTAAGTGGACAATTCTAAACACTATTTCCAGGCAGTGATGATAGCTACCCTTGTAATAGTCTTATCCACTTCCTTGATTACTAAAAAGTTTCCTAAGTGGGATGCAAAACACTAATTGACCAATTTGAGAAACAATATACCTAACATTCTGTGATGACCCTAATAAATTGAACTGAGATTTTGTGACAGTTCTGTTTTGTGACAGAATCACAGAAACTTGTAAGAGAACTTCAATATGAAAAGGACTAGGGAAGTAACCTGCCCTGAGAGCCCTCGATGGGATCACAAAACTATCACCTGATAGTCACATCTCACCAGGCCACAAGCAGAGGTGTACAAGTAAGAGCGGCTGCAGTTGCTGCTACAAACCCCCATAGTCTCACACCACAGCACAAATGACAGAAGCAATCACCAAATTTTGTAATCCAAACTAAAAAAACCAAACAAAAAACCCAAAACAAAACAAAAAAACCCACAACAAAAACACAAACAAAAACCAAAACGAAACAAACCAAACAAACAAAAAACCAAAACACCCACAAAAACCAACACAACGTGATGGTGGGTTTGTGCTAATATATCCACTTCGATCTTCCTGACTAAAATGAAATGGCAATAACAATGCTGAAGCAACACTTCAGATAAAACTCATCTCCCTAAACACTGGGGATTAGCTCCTGTCAATGAAGAGGACGGTTTTTAAAACGCCAGGAGCACAAGTTTGTCATTAAGACTTATTTGCTGCTTTGCAATGCAAATGAAAAATTCCTCACTGGGAAGTAAGAACATAGAAACTATTGTATTAGAAAGACTGTCAGCATGCAACTTCACTCCTTCCTCTTCTGAGTTCTGTCAGTTCTCAGACTTATGCTCAACAAACATCACTTCTTTAGAACCTGTATGCTCTTTCTACTTATGCAATGAGATCACTGTGTCAATTTTGACTTACTGAGAAATACCAAATACCCAGATGGAATACTTAGTACAAGCTTCATTGCAGACAGTAAATTCATTTTACAGAGAACCTCCAGCTAGTCTCTACACACACACCTTTCTTCGAGGAAGTGAAAGATGTACAGGTTTAATATCTGAATATTTACTGCCTCTTTATAATCTAAACCATTTCCCACTAACATGCTGGTTAATATTTTGGTAAAAATTATGGAACACCTACAAATGCTATTTGAAAGTCCCTCACATATGGAAATACACATACGTTACAGAAAATTAACATATGTAAAAGACCAAAGGTAGCTTTAAAAAAAAAAAAAAAACACCTCCTCAACGCTGAAAGATCAGTTGAAAGTTAACTGAAAGACCTTTAGAGATTGACATCAGATATCAAGCATGTCACAACATAAATGAAATTCAGAAAACTGCAATTAACACAGCTGCTAATTCTGCCAGGTTGACCCTGTGAGCCGCTCCCTCAGTTGAAGCTACTGACAGCAGCATTTTGAGGTAACTGCATGTCAACTGACAGCTATGCCCCTGAGGAGATATGAAAAAATAAATTCAGCATCTTTTATAACTTCAGCTCTTCCCTGCAACACTTTGAAGCATTCTGAATCTACAGACCAGGTTAAACAATGACTATTCATAGGTCACAAAACCACAGAACTCAGCACTGCCATTAAGCCTTTCCATTACCTGTGCACTTGGGTCTTTAACCACATCTCCTGACAAGAAACCACTTACGGTCATGTTTAGTTGCAGTC